GATTGAAGCCGTAATCGAGATGGAAGGAGGCGAAGACAAGGACAGGGGCGGCCACAAGAAGGCCCAAAGCCCATGAAATTGATGTCCAAATTAATGGCGAAAATTCGGAGCTGCCGATCTTTATCGTATGCTCCGTCAGCTTCTGGTACCTGCTTGCAGCCAATCAAAGACATCCACGTGTACATTGTTAATTTTTTACGATTATTTTGCTGAAAATAAATCAAGTTACCTGGACTAACTATTTTATAACTTTTTTAATTTCTATATTTTAAAATAAGTTTAAAAATGCAAAGCCATGGTAGATTGAGTTTGATTTGATCCCCACCCTACTGTATATTACTTGTCCATTTATTTTCATTATATAGGTAATAGTTTAATACATATTTTTAAAATCTAGGTTAATTTTTATTTTTTTAGAAGTTATTTTCAAATAGATGCTTTGGTTTCTAAAATTTAGCTTGGTTAAAACATTGACGGATAATCATAATCATTGTGGTTTGAGCTTAATTTTGATTTAATTGTATAGTTTGAAAAGTCTAAATTTAATATTTATAACTTGGACTTAGTTACAATTTTATTTAGTTTAAAAGTTCAAAATTAGTCATTGTGACTTGGTAAAATCCTACATATTGTTATCATATTAAATATGTGTTTTTTTATTTATAGTTGACGTGACAATAATGGATGATAATTGCTGCATAATGTATTCGAGTTTAAGGTTGAATAAATAACAAGAAAAAAAATAGGTGATTCCTTTAGTGGGTAGAAAGCAATTTATAAAATAATCTGGGAAGTTGAATCAAATGAAAGTTTAATTCATATGATCCAATTGAAACCAAATTTCAAACTACACATACCAAATTAAAATTAAAATGGCGATCAAATTAAAAATAGAAAACAAATTTAATTCAACTCTAGTTTGAAATTTTACTTTTGTGCGAAACTACAACTTAATTTTGTGAAGAATATTAATTAGAATTTAAACTCACAATCTACCAGATAAGTACCTAAGTAGTTGAACATGTTAATCATATTTTTTTTAATTGAAATTAACGAGTGAGTCAACAAAAATTCAACCCAGGATAAGAATTGTAATAGGGAAGTTTAGTATAAAATTTGTAAGCACAAAAAAGTGAGAGATTTTAAAAATTTCTTCCTCATTTGTTCGTCCAAATTAAAAAAATTAAAATGACTATATAAATTGCTTACAGTTTCATTTCTTTAGGAGGGCAATCGAAGCCCATGAAACTCTTGGACCAGCCCTGCGGCGGCTCCGGCGGAGCGCCGCCGATCTGGCTGATAATGAGCGGAAACACAATCGGAATCAGAACCGTCACAACAAACGAAGAACACAGCTCGTAGAAGCTCCATCCCACAATCTCCACAACCGATGGCCTCTCTCCGTGCCCTTCGTACGCCCTGTATACCTCCTTCGCCCTCTCCAGCTTCGCCGCCGTGCTCTGAACATCCGGCGTCTCCCTCCGCCCTCCTCCGCCGCTCGCCGACCTCGGTGTCGATGTGCTCCTCTCGCTCCGGCCGCCCCCGCTCGCGGTCCTCGGCGTCGGTAGGTTTTGGATCTCCTGCTCGGCCATGGCGCGACGCCTGCAAGGTGTTTGAGAAAATGCCGAAGTGAAAAATTAGGAGAAAACTCGGGATTGTGAGGGCAAGAGGATGGTGGAGGTCGAGGGAGATTATAAAAATGGCGGATTGGGATGGAGTTTGGTGAGGCACAGCTGGTAGAGCGAGAGATTCAAAGAAGGTTGAAAATGGAGTTTCGATAAGTTCAGAAGCGGCCTTGGTATGTATAATGGCATCTTTCTTCATATTCTTCTTCTTGTTTTGTTTTTTGTTTTGAATTTTATATCTAATCCTCCTTTCTTTATGTTGAAAGTAATTACTTTTGATGAAAATAAATTTCACTACTTCTCCGTATTGGTAACAAATAACAATTAGTACCTACCGTTTAAAATTGGTAATAATTTAATTAATGCAGTGAAAAGTTTCATCAGTCCATTTTTACTATACAGCGATTGGTCTTTGTAATCTATGTACACTTGTTTTCTTCGATTTATCTAACATGTATCAAAAACTTTATATTAAAGTTTATGAATTAAATTATTACCAATTTAAAAATAAAATAACTAAATTGTTATAAATAAAATTTAATTATTTTAATAATAATAGCCGTTGCAAATATGACAAAAATATTTAGTAAAATGAGTAAAATAAGAACCACATTTAGTTTTTTCAAATATAACACTAATGACAATTTATCTAAATGATATACATCTGTAATATATCTATAATATATATGATTACTAATATATGTATGTATGTGATATACGTCTGATATATTATTGATGTGAGTGTCTATACAATATGCATGTGATATACATCTAATATACTCTGATATAAGTGTCTGATATACTATTAATATGAGTATCTAATATACTGATATAAATGAAAATTTTTGTTACATTTGAAAAATAGATAACATATTTTGAAATACATAAAAGATATTTACTACCTATTGCAATTTCCGTTGATAACCCTTAGTAATAGAACATGCATAAACAAAAAGTGTTTTTTAACTCTTATTTTATATACATATACTATTGTAAATATATGTATTTTAAAAAGTAACATAAAAATTTTTAGTTTTATTTTCAGATATGATATTTCTTGATAAGTTTTATATTACCTCTAAATTTAAATTTGAATTTGATAGTGATTGGGTTATTTTGTAGAATTTTCTTTCTGCTAAAATTGAGAACATATATTTATTTGTGGTATTTATGTAAATGTCTTAATAATCTAATTAAATTGTAGTTTTTTTTTTTAAAGTTCAAAGATCTTTTAGAAAAAAAATTGAAATGTTAGGTTGTGAATTTAAAAGTTAGACACAATAAATAAGTTAAACATTAGGTATAATATTGAAATTTTGAAAATTTATAATTACTAAATTTGTAGTTTACCAAATACAAAACATAAACACAATAGGAAATGAATTTGACACATTTTGACCTCTTCCTTTTTAATGTGCCAAGGCCCATTCGATGAAAGAGATAATTAAGGAATGATTTTTTTTTTTCAATATTTACTAAATTATAGGAATGAAATTATTATTATTATTTTTTATCTTTTAAAGGGAATTAAATTAATTGATGAGTACCTCCTAAAAGGTAATCATATTACTTTTGTAAAATCTTTATCAATCTCATTTACATCTTTTTTTTGGTTCCACATCTTTATAATAATTACATTACAACTTTACCTTTATCTCACTCTTTTATTAATTTTGGGTTCTACATCTTTACAGTAATTACATTAATACTTTACCTTTATGTCTCTGGTTTATTAATGGGATACATAATATTAATTGTTTTACACTTTTATTATTTATTTATAATACTAATAATTTTTCTTTCAATAAAAAACTTTTATTAGTTAACATGGTTTTATTATAAAATACCATAAATTTCTATTTAATTTTTTAATTTTACTTTGTAATTATTAATTAATATTAATAGTTTAAAAAATAGAATTCGTTATTATTAGAACAAATAAAATTTTATATTAAATGATAATTGTTTTAATAAAAGTATTATTTTAGTTGATGTAATTTATTTTAATAGTTTGTTATTTGACAATTTTAGTATTTTGAAGTGTCTGCAGCATAGAGTTCGAAACAAATCAGAGCTCAAACTGATAAGTTAAAGTCAAATGAGGTTGAAATGATAAATTTTCGAGATGATGACGTGATGGCTAAATTAACCAAGCGGACCAATAAAATAGCGACACGTGAGATGTATTTACTTAAAAGAAATGAAAAGAAACAGAAAAAATAGAAGAAATGAGAAAAACAATCAAACAAACAAATGTTACCGTTGGAGGCATCATGTAAAAATAATATATACATACATATATACATACATATATATATTAAAAAAAAAAGAAATCAAATCAAACTGTTTAAGAAAAAGGGAAAGAAAGGAAAGAAATGAGCTTGTGAGATATATATAAATTTATTATTATTATTAATATATTAAATCTACCTGTCATCTCTAATCATTTCGAATCTAATTGTCCAAATTTAATTTGGATTTCAAATTTCTTATCAACTTTTTCCTCCTATTTAAACGATTCTTTCTCTCAATTTTTGAACAACTTGTTCTCTCCAAATTTTCTCTCTAATTTATTCTTCGTTAATCTCCTTCCAAAGCTTAAATTTTTGTTCTATATTATTAAAAGAGATTTTATTTTAGAGATATTTGTGATTCTAATTTTATTTTCTCTAAGCTATTTGTGGGCTTTATTTTGTACAAATTTTCTTACAAATTGTGAGCGAAAATTTGTGTATCAACTATTTTTAGAGAGTTTGTGAGATTGTTCTTAGATTTCCATATCCTTTGTAAGGGTTGCTCTTGAGCCCGAAAAAGAGCTTTGTAACGGTTTAATCCTAAACCATGGAAAGAATTGAGTGTCTTCTTGCTCCCGAAAAAAGAAGGCTTTATACCGGTTTGATTCCTTTCGTGGAAATAGTCAAAGTTTCTTAATCGAATAGCCAAGAGCTGCTTGGGGAGTGGAGTATGCCGGTTGTTGCCGAACCACTCTAAAATTTCCGGTGTCATTTTCTCTAACCTTATCCTATTTAATTTTTGCAATTAATTTTCTTTATTACAAATTACATGAAATTAATTGTTCGAAATTGTTAATCATATTTAATGGTCAATACTTATATTTGAATTATTTGGGTGGTGAAATTAACTAGGATGTTTGTATTTCTAATTTGTTGTCTAATTTGTGTTAAAATTAATTGTTTCTAAAAAGTTTACATAATTGTTTAATTTGGACCCACTGTTTTAAAAAGTTTAAAAAGTTTCATTAAACCCTATTCACCTATATCAACCTAATAATGTATTTGTAATTAGCTATAAATACGAAATGTGTATAATAATAATGGTAATATATCATTAGTTTTAGTAAACAGCATTAAATGATTTTTTATTTTGATTCCATAAAATTTAGAATAATCGATCAAAAGAATGACATTCTTGTTTCTCTTGATTTTCATTTTCGTAAACGAGACCTTAATATAATGAAATACTTATTATCGTTACTACCGTCTCAAAAGCTAGATTCGACATCCTATGATTATTGAATTCAAAGGAAAAATGAACTTAAATATGATTTTGGTCTATATAATTTTGACTTTGATTTATTTTTGTTCGTATACTTGGTTGATTCTGGTATATGTGTTTCCAAATTTTGTTCATTTTAGTCATCGAGTTCCAAAATGACCTATTTGATCTCTATTTGCAAAATTTTAATACAAATTTTAGTGAAACTTTTTTTTATACAAATCTAAAGCTAAAATTAAAAAATTTTAGTGGGAGGAGAATCTGCTAAAATTGTAATATGGATAAATAAGATAAAAGAACATAAAGGGATTAAAATAGATATCAACTAAAAAGAACTTATTTATTATTATTATTATTTTCTATAAGACTAAAATGAAGATAAAGTTGAAAGTACGTGACAAACCTTTTTTAAAGTACAAGAACCGAATCTTTTCAAAAAAAAAAAAAAAAAATCGGTGTGTTTTAGTTGGTGTAAAATGAACATGGCCGCAGCGAATCATATATTTCATTTCAAATTCACAACTAGTTCTCGTGGAAGACCGTGAGGTCTACTTTTCAGAATTCAGTAAAAAGCACACTCGCGGCTCAGTCCCATCGTCCTCCTGCTCCCGCCGCCGGCCGCTTCCTTCTCTCGTTTCCATGAATTTCTCGCCGTAGCCTCCTCTGATTCTGCATTGTAACACTACAATGCGCTCGCCACTCAAATCCAGATCCAAATCCGATTCTATTTCGAAATCCAAATCCACTTCCAAGTTCAGATCGCTGCCGATCGTTTCACACGGAAATGTCACCGCCGATCACACTCCGGTTCCTCTGGCTGTTTTTGACCCTAAAATGTCAAGAGAGACTTGTTTGAGGAGGTCGCCGAGGCTCTGTCCAAGTCCCGTGCATGTTCGTCTGCAGAATGTGGGTAGGAATCGCGTTACAAGAACTCGTTCTGAATCTGCTTCTGCTCCTCCGGGTTTGCGTCTTGGATTGTTAGTGAACGAGACGCTCATGAGGAGGTCGCCGAGACTACATCCCGCCCTAGCTACTGGAAGTGTGGATGAAACTGGTAATTTACCCCTAATTAAGAAATGCAGAATGTTGTTGTTGATGGATGCTAATGACTTGAGAAGGTCGCCGCGATTTAATGGGTCCGGGACTGGAAGTAGTAAAGGAGAGCCGGAGCTGTCCACAAAGACGGCGTCGAAGAAGAGAAAGAGCAGCATTTCGGAATCAGCGGACGCGAAGTTCTTGAGACGTTCTCCTCGATTCGACTCGGTTAAAAGCGACGAACGGGAATGCGGCCTGAATCAGGTTCCAAGTACTATTTTTCTTCCATTATTATTGCGTTTTTCGTTCTGATTTTGACAACAATTATATAAAATGAAACCTTGCTATATACAAATCATGCTTAGGGTTTTAGCTGGCTTCGGAATTATTTATTTTGGATTTTGATCTTTAAATTGGGAAGCTTTCTCGTCAAGAACTGTTCCAATTCATTAACAGCGCGAGTTTAGAGGATTCAAAATTTAGAAATTACCCTTGCAATTTTTCCAAAAAAAAAAAAGGAAGAAGAAAAAAAGAACTAATGATTTCATGCTTCATAACACAAATTGCTTTATTCCGACGAATTTAACGGTTTCGAAAGGATTTATTCATTTCGAGTACGGATAGCAATTTTGTATCGGTACTCACCGCGAAAACCGAAACTAATTTTGAAAAATTTCCTGTTGATAACTTGAGATTTTTTCCCCCTTTTTGTTTTGTTTTCTTAGGAGAGATTATCCTGTTAATAGCTGTCCAATCATTAGTCGAAGACAGGACATTCCCGGCTGGAGGATGAGTTATTTCGAATTATATTAGATTTCCGTAGGTTTTCGGTTCTTTTGGTAGCAGTTTGTAAAAGTTTTGAAAAAATTGATTTTTCTTTCTTTTTAAAATTTTAGTTACAGTATGACAATTAGCATTTTGCAATTTTTTTTAAAGGAGTATTTTGCTATTTAATTGTTCAGAGGATTTTAATTTTAATTTTTAATTTTTTGAATTCAAAATGTGTGGGAAACCTAACTAATAATATCTTACCCTTTTTTTTTTTTTTTGAAACAAAGTATCTTACCTGTTGAACTACATTTGGTTTCACAAAATTTTGTGCGAAGATTTCGTACTAATGATGTGGGTCGATCAAATGATTTATTTTTTTTAATTATTTAACGGAAATCATTCTATAAATAGGTGAACACAAACCTTTTAAAAATATGCGTTTGTTCAAAAAAAAAAAAGGCGTACTTTTTTAATTATTTTACCTTTTCTTTCGGAGAATATTACATTAGGCATGGAATTACTTGAATACTATATCTTGTACAGTGCAGGCGAGTTTTAGAAAATATGATTTTGTTCTCTTTTTTTAAATGGAAAATACTTGGTTCCTTATCAATGAGGAGAAATTTTGTTGTTACCACCATTAAATGTTTGACAACTAAGAGAGTAAAATATAAAAACTAATACTTCTTAAAAATTAATGCTGTCAGTGGTGTGGACAAAATTCTTCCTTATCGAACATTTACATTTGTAGGGCAGTTTCTTTTTTCGGAGAAATTGTCAAGCAAGTAGTGGGACTTCTAGAAATAATTACAATGGTATATCAATCTATAAACCTGCGGTGAAATACAAGCCTACTAACTAAACTTAATTAAAACTATGTTAACCAAATTATGAACAATACCACTTGCAAGCCTTGAATTGCGTTTTGAGCATTTTGTTGACTGTATTCTAAGGGATTTATAAGTACATCTTTGGGCAAACTTTTAGCTTCATTTTGAAAATTGTATTGATTTCTTTACTGATTTATGTTCAAGTACGATTTAATGAAATAAAAACTTTAATGTTAAGGAAATGGTCTTTTACCTTTGTAATCTAGTAATTTAATATGTGCATTTTATTCATTTTAAAAAAATTATATATATATGTGTGCATTTTATAGAGTTGCTTTTTTTTTTATGAAAATAAACAAGTTTTATGCAATCGTTAATTTATGAAAATATTATCTTTATGTCATATTAGTGAAATATTTATTTTATATCCTATGAAATTATAAAGCCAGTAGAGACAGTTCAAGGGTCAAGTTAATTTTGAATAGTTACAATAAGTTATTACATCGTCCTATGTTAAACTAAAATCTAGAAGTAATTAGTCTAGTAAATTATTCTCAGTATTTAAAACTTTACTATTTATTTGATAATCTAGGAAAGAATTATTTTTCTTTTTAAATAAATTATATTTTTGATGCCTATGAGAATAATCCAGTGTTACGAATAAAATATCAACGTCGGAACTCCTATTTAATTGTATATTCCCAGCAATTTCTTTCATTTATAGTTAAAAGGTATTCCGGCATTTCTTGAAGTCTGAACTTTTTGTTGATGCTGCTACTCTATGGTTTACAAGTTGCGAGTCACTTTTATCGTTTGTTTCTTGATGATGAGCTTATTGACGGATATGTTTTATTTTTGAATTGGAAAACTGAAATTGACAGGGTGAAAAGGCTACTAGCCAATGCTTGACATATAAGTGAGTAATTATCTACAAACTTTTATTTGGCGTTTGTATTGGTTCAATGCAGCTGTATCTAAATTCCATTTCTAATTGAATTTTGCATCTTCGTTGAGAAAGAGAGGAGAAAGATGAAGTAGTTAAAAATTTGGAGGGCATGGAACAGAAGGCCATCAGGAGATCTCCAAGATTTTCATCTAATGAACTAGAAAATGAAATTAGATGTCATATATCTTCATCAAAGAAGAGTTCCTCAAGGAAGCTTGCATCTCTTAAGAAAGACAGCGTTGATGCATTATCATTGACAGTCTACAATGCTGAAACGGATTCATCAAGAAAACTAGACGCAGAACAATTATCTTGCTCAAAGCATGAAGAGATATATGAAGCAACAGTTTCTACGAGGTCAGAAACTTCAAATTTCGGAGTAGAATTATCTCACAAGATGGAAGCTGAACCATCACCTGTCTCTCTGAGTAAAAATTATGAAGAAGAGCCTGAACTCTTCTGTGGCAACTCTTATTTCATTGGTGGGAGGCTTTTAAGAAGGTCTCCAAGGCTTTTCTCAGACTATAAAGATAGTTTCAATTGCAATGTAAATTATTGTACTGGATTCAATATGAAAAATGACAAGCCATTAAGTAGATCTCCAGGACAGTCATTATCTTCCTGTGGAAATGAACAATCCAAGTCACTAGATAACCAAACATCTAAAATGAGACATTCTCCACAAGTTTCCATATTTGCTTGTGGGGATGAAAATAGTAAAATCAGACGTTCTTACTCTGAATTTCTAGAGTCAGGTGTAAAGTATCCTCCAGGGAAAATTAGGAATGCTACTTGTGTTAAAAAGGAAAAGAAGAAAAGCAAAACGGCTATTTTCTTTGTTGGAGATCCAGTTCCTGCTGATGAGGCTCAGCAGAGATGGAAATGGCGCTATGAAATGAAGGTAATTATCTATTGTTATACAGTCTGCAGTTCCCTTCTTGTTTGTCACTACAACTGAGATTTCAATTTTTGGAATCAGAATTTTAAGGACCACACATGGTGGAGTCTTTTGGTATTTGTTCTATAAAAACAATGTTAAAATGTTTTTATTTGGGATTATGCAGAGTTCAAGTTAGTTATGGTTGAGTTATTGTGGTATTATGATAGGGTGTATATAGTGGTATGTTGAGTGAGGAAGGAGTATCCTTTTGGCTAGTACTGACAATGGGAGTGTGTGGGAGGAGAGGTAGGGAGCTCTCAAAACCTCCGTTGGCCCCTTGTAATCCTCTATTTTATCAAATAGAAGATAGTTCTATTATATTCCTGATCTGATTCTTGCACCAATTTATCTATTTAATTGGCACCTTCCTTTATATAGCTTTATTCATTATGCATACACTACACGTTAAATTTGCATTCAAATCATAATTGTTTCGGAATATGCAGAGTCAAATTTCTAAGGGGCAGAGAATGACTGAAAGGTGAGATATAATTAGTTCTTAAGCTTATCATTTAACTGGTTTTGTAATTTTTGAACAATTTTTTAATTAAGAATTGTGTTTCGCTTCAGCCAATCATTTCCATATTGCCATTATTTACAGTGATGATGATGAAGATATGATCGTGGTTAATGTGGATTGCCATTATACTCAAGCTAGTATTGCAAATACCATTTTTAGTCTGGGAGATTGTGTGTACATTAAGGTAAATGGCCTATATTTTAATACTGTTATCATTAGATTGTTAAGGATTGGGGATAAAAAGGAACACACTCCATCTGAACTCTCTGGTGGTATAGGAGATCAGAAAGAATTGATTACACATAAACATGATATTGAGTGGAATTCGTACTTGGTGACAGTGAATTTTGGTTTCAGAATTTTCAATATGCGTGTCTTACCATATATTGGAAACTTAATTTTTATTGAAAAAGAATTAAGCAAAAAGGAAATAGTACCATTGTGACCATGAGATAGGAAAGCGGAGATGAAGGATGTTAGTATTGCGCAAAACAAATTTGAAACTCTTGAGGGGACAAAGGTTATCTTAACATCATTCCTTACCATTTGTTTCATTGTTAATACGTGTTGAGCATTGCATGTGGCATGAAATATAGTTTACTTGGATGATCTATTGCCTTGCCCCAAATAAATTTGAAAATTTCATTTTCATGAGGAGACACAGAATATCTCTATCTTGGTTTAAATTTACTGTTTTCTTTCATTGCTAAATCATGTCGAGCATCACATGATAAATGTTTCATGAAAGAGCTTTTAGATTCTCTCTCAATAATCAATTTTCTTGTATTTCATACAATAATATATATCCATTGCATTTTCTACAGGGTGAAGGAGAAAACGATCATGTTGGGAGGATTATAGAATTTTTTAAAACAACAGATGGAGATAATTATTTCAGAGGACAATGGTTTTATAGAGTGGAAGATACGGTGAGTTAAATTTCCTGTCACTTTTGTTCATTGTCCGGTAATGACTAATAATCAACTATTCCTTGGAGTGCCTTAAAGTAATTTATTTCTCAGGTTATACAGGAAGAGGGTGCTTTTCATGACAGGAGGCGTTTATTTTATTCAACGGTTATGAATGACAACCCATTAGATTGTATTGTTTCAAAAGTAAATATTACTCGAATAAAACCCAGGGTATGCATGCTTCACAACCCCTGCCTTTCAAATTTGATTTTATTTGATGTTGCAATCACTATTTTTTAACTTTGTTGTAGGCACGTTCATCCCCTTCAGAACTAATTTGCACTTGTTGCAGGTAGGCAAGAAATTGAACTGTGCATCTTCATTCGATTTTTATTATGATATGGAATACTGTGTAGACTACTCGACATTTCGCACTTTGAAGGATGGTGAGTGTAGTTGTTATCGGGCTACTATATGGTAGAAATTAGCGATGCTTCTTGATTCTTAACTATTGATTAATACTTTCTTTTAATAACCGGGAGTCAAAGCTTTGTTCCCTTGTACTAGGGGCACTCACGCCCACCTCAAGGCACGGACCAACTATTGTTGGATACTTCTAGGGAAGTTTAAACTTTCCTTTTAGTATGCTTCATTTTGGTCTCTAAAATTCTGTCTTTTTCCCCCAAAAATTTTAGTTCAATCCTTTTTCACCAAATTTCTTACTTTTGTTACAAATATGGCCATATGGGTAATTATAATAGGGTTGCATTACCAATGAAGTTATAAATCTGGTGGCGAATCACATTATAAATTTTATCAAGTCTAAATATTGTATATTATCCTAAAATCACATTACCAAAGGGTTTGGGCTTGGTTTTTATAGCGCAAGGGTGGTAAAAGTATGAAAGTTTTCAATGGTTCTTTCTTACTTGTATAACTGCTGTGAAGCCCTTCTTTTCCTTTCTTTTTTGGTTCTATTTTAAAATCTTCATGGACGCTTATCTTCTCTCATAAAATCTTTTTTAGGATATATTGTTTTATGCTAAATAGTATTTATTATCTGATCATGAAAATTCTGCATGTCTTATTTTACATTAGATGAATCCCATAAGAACATTGATCCAACGCCAACCACCACCACGGCAACTTCTCATGTACCATCCTCTAAGAACTCTTTGGAGAATATTCCCAAGAAGGCTGACTTAGAATTGCTAGATCTGTTCTCCGGATGTGGGGGAATGTCTACCGGACTATGCCTTGGTGCAAAATATTCTTCTGTTGGCCTCATTACAGTAAGCCTATATTCTGCTGAGCTTTCTATTCTGGGCAAATAAAACTTTTCCTGTCTTCAACTCTTTCAACTTCATTCAATTTTAATATTCATCCCTGTCTTAGAGATGGGCAGTTGATAGTCGTAAGTCTGCATGTGAGAGCTTCAAACTGAATCATCCAGAAACACATGTGAGGATAAGTCATCTTTTACTGCAATTCAGCAACTTGTTTCCCGAGTTATCTGAGATATTTAACATTAAACTTGGTTTTCTAATAGGTCAGAAATGAAACTGCCGAGGATTTTCTGGACTTACTGAAGGAATGGGAAAAACTATGTAGACGTTATAAGGCCAATGACGCAGAAAGAACCCGAGAATCAAGGTCAAAACTATCTGATGATAAATTGAAGTCCCTTGATGATAAACTTCCAACTAGCGAGTTTGAGGTTTCGAGAGTAGTTGACATTTGTTATGGCGATCCAACCAGATCAGGCAAGCGTGGACTGAAGTTTATGGTAAATAGTTTACCTCTACCTAGTGGAATCTGATGGTGAATTTGTTTGATTTTCTTATTCTTTACTCTGTCCTGAATTTTCCACTCATTTGGTTAAGTAATTTGGTCTTGAAATGAATTGCATATACTTCTTTGATAACTTAAAAGATTTTGCTTGATATATTGCTTTTAATTCTCAATTAAATTAATTGGTAGAGTGATGTTTGACTGTTATTTAATTTACAAGTACAGTTTTTAAGGGATAAGAAACTAATTCATAAGAGAAGCAAATTTAACGTTACTCTGCATTGCATAAGGTTCATTGGAAAGGCTATGGGCCAAGTGAAGATACATGGGAACCAGTCGAAGGTTTAAGGTTAATACTCACTCTTATACTTTATTGATTTTTACCTTTTGTTTACCACAATTTTCCCTTTTTTCCTCTCATCTTTTTTCTTCTGCAGTAACTGCCAAGAAGCAATCAAGGATTTTGTGAACAGAGGTTTGAGACTGAAAATTTTGCCACTCCCTGTGAGTAGTCCTATTGTATTAACTGTGTAAACTGAAATAATTTTCAACAGTACTATTGTATTTGCGTTCTTCAATTGACTCTAATGAGTAAATTATGTCAGGGAGATGTCGATGTTATTTGTGGTGGTCCTCCTTGCCAAGGAATCAGTGGCTATAATCGCTTTAGAAACATCGACTGTCCTATGGATGATGAACGAAATCGCCAGATAGTTATGTTCATGGATATTGTGAAATTTTTACGGCCTAAATTTGTATTGATGGAAAATGTGACTGACATTTTGAGATTCAATCAAGCTTCTCTGGGAAGATATGCAATGAGTCGTTTGGTACATATGAATTACCAAGCAAGACTTGGAACGATAGCTGCTGGATGTTATGGTCTCCCCCAATTTCGGTTGCGTGTCTTCCTTTGGGGTGCTCATCCCAGTGAGGTGAACTTGATTTTAAGAGCCTCTCATTTATCAAAGTTCAATTTGTTACGCGTTGTTTTTCATCAAGTTTCCTTTATAATATATAGAAACTACCTCAATTTCCACTTCCGACACATGAAGTAATTGTTAGATATTGGCCACCACCGGAGTTTGAGGTAATCTTTGTTGGATCAAGTAAACATTTGGTTCCCCATTTATTTTAAATTTATACTAATTTTGTGGCCTATTTGCAGCGAAATACTGTTGCTTATGATGAAGACCAACCCCGTGAACTTGAAAAGGCTCTTCTTCTTCAAGACGCAATCTCCGATCTCCCAGCAGTAATTACACTGTTTTGGACTTGAAATCTTATCCTTTATCATCTAACCAAAAGGTCATTTTTATATTCCATTTTTTTTTTAAATTCTGCAGGTGTTGAATTCAGAGTCTCGGGAAAAAATGTCATATGAAAAGCCTCCTGAAACAGAATTCCAAAGATATATAAGATCATCTGAATATGGTGATAATATCATCATATTTCTACAACAAACCTTTCAATTTCTATAATCTATTTATTAGCCATCCTCCTTGAAACTTGCTTGGAAAATGAATGGTCCTGTGTATGTTTTTTCTATAAGAAAATTAGATTAATTGAAGAAACAAGAAAATATATGCATGCAGAAATAATGAGTCCACATATGATATTACCAAGTACTGATTCTCTTTTGCTTTTCTTCCTTCTTTCTTTTGTTTTTAATTATGTGCACAGAGATGACTGGCTGTGAAACAAACAGCACTAAAGATTCACTTTATGACCATCGGCCACACTTGTTAAGTGAAGACGACTATTTGCGAGTTTGTAACATACCAAAGAGAAAGGTTGTTGAATATAGTTTCTGCAGTTGAACTTATCACTTAGCTCTTCTTCCTTCTTACATTAAGATTATATATAGGGGGCAAATTTCAGGGATCTCCCTGGTGTGGTTGTGGGGAGTGACAATGTTGCTCGGCGAGACGCAGGAAATGAAGTATTACTGCCGTCCGGAAAATCAATGGTTAGTATTCTAAATTTCTTCATGAAATTCTGCAAGCCATTTTAGAGTCTATGTCGTCCATGTTTTGATTCTAGAATCTAGAGGCGCTTACTTGTGTGTTAAGATAACTACCAGCCACCGGGTACTTAATATGCAGATAATGATGCTCTATTGTAATAAAAAAGAGATGGTTATGATTCTTATGAATATTATATAATTCAGTATTTAATTTTAATTTTATTAAAAAATTGCCAGGGCAATAAATTATTTGAGAAGCATGTAATAAAGGAACTATTTGCATACAATTAACTATTAAGAAATTAATGTGAATCTAAGAAGCCAAAATCTCTCAGCTAGCTTCTTTCTTGGTTCAATCCCATTTCTCGGCTGACGGCTCCTTTATAATGAAAAATAAAGTTTGTTCTCGAATGGTTTTCCTAACAGCAGAATCCGAATGCATGAAATGAATTTTTGTTCATAAGATGTCAAATTTTTTTACTTGTCCGGAAGGCTCTGGATACTCGTGTTTGTCATAATCATCATACTCATGGATAGGGTTTTACATTGCATAAGATTAGTGGGATTTGAACCTCAAAATTTCAATTTCATTGACTGGAGCTCTAACATGAATAATTGCCGAAATTATTATATTCTCAAAACTAAATTAAAAAATTGTTTATGAACCAACCAGCAAATTATACAAAATTTAACCAATAAAAACTCAAAATATAGTCAGAAAAATGCCTTATATAAGAATATCTATATTTACCACAAAACCAAGCAGATAACAGAGCTCCCAAACTTCAGAATAGAATGCTCGACCTACAGTAAAAAAACATCAAACACAATTAAAAGAACTGATACTTACAAAAATTAGTCTCTTTAGCTTCAAGAATGCTCATAGCTAGACACAAATTGTCAAAAAAAAATGGAAACTTTTAACTTAATGGGAATATTAATTACACTACTTATTCAATTTTAGGATTCAATATGACGAAATTATAAATTTAAGGTTAAAATTGAATTACAAAAGAGAACCTAAATTTTGTATTTTGAATGGGCTGACCCGAACCGGCAGGTACAATATACAGAATTTTTGTATTGATTGAGATAGAATGTAAGAACTGTCTCTTTCATGTTTAGAAGTGGTAATACACCAGTCCTTCCAAACAACTCCAAATGCCTTTTTACTTTTTTTCAGGTACCAGACTATGCTTTCACTTTTGAACAAGGAAAGTCTAGAAGGTTTGCTATCTTTCATTCAAGTGGCTGCTCATAGTTCCTTTGGATCATCTCTCTCTCTCTCTCTCTCTCTCTCTCCCTCTCATATTCTGGTTGTGCAGACCATTTGGCAGGTTGTGGTGGGACGAAACAGTGGCCACAGTAGTGACTTTCCCAAGTTGTCACAACCAGGTTTCATCTTCTCCTAATGTTACCATATTCTTTAAGAGTTTCATTTGATAAAATTTACCTTATTTCTTGTTTCCTCTTTCCCAGTTATAAGAAAGTGAACAAAAATGTGGTTGATGTGGTTTTGGTTCTCCTTATTTAAGAAAAGTCTCTGCTTGTTTCATCTTTCCATTCTTTTATATCTTGTCTTAAAATAACAGAGAAAAAAGGTTTGGAGTATAATAGATTATTATTAAAACATTCTGCATTCATATATTGAAAAAAGGGAAAAATAAAAGAACAATAAAAACACTATTAAATTTTCCCGTATTATTTAAATCTTGCGGTATATATCTGTTGTAAATGTTTGCTAATTTTATAGGTAGCGTTACATCCAGAACAAGATCGAGTCCTGACCATAAGAGAATATGCAAGATTGCAAGGATTTCCTGATTATTATCGATTCTCTGGGACTGTAAAAGAGAGGTCAGTATCGGTCAGAAAATAATTTTGGTCCCAGTACGTTAATTGAAGTAATGATTTCGTCTCTAAACTTTAATATGTATGTAATAATTTGGTTGCTGTACTTTTTAAATTTGTAATAATTTAGTTCATAAACTTGAGTAGGTTACAATTTAGTTACAGTGGTTTAAAATTTGAACGATTTAGTTTAGTACTTTTAAAGTTTGTACGTAAAATATCTTTAAACTGCAGGATTAAGTTGTTACATATTAAAATTCAGGAATTAAATCGTTACTTTAAGTAAAGTACAAGGATCAAGAGTGCTTTGCAACCAAGTGTTTCTTTTTTTAAACACAAAGATGAGTATATAAACTTTTAAAGATTTACTTAAGATTATTAAGTAACAAATTTTATTGCTTAAGTTAACGCTAATGGTGCAGATACTGTCAAGTCGGGAATGCAGTTGCTGTATCGGTTTCACGGGCGTTGGGATATTCCCTTGGATTGGCAGTGAGAAGAATTGGAGGTGATGAACCACTGATGGTTCTTCCTCCAAAATTCTCTCTTTCTAACTACATTCAATTTCAAAATCCACCTGATAATGATACATTAGTGAGTAGCAGCTTCCTTTGATTTTAATCTTCTGTTGTTGTTTAGGTTTTGCTGCTCTGAAAGTGTAAAATTCACTTTCATTGTATTTCACTATTTCTACTCTTGTTAGAGAACTCACACTTTGATCTCTTAGCTTCTAGTAGATCCCATCTAACAATTCAATTGTCATTGTATTTTCTCTCTTTTCTGTTTCCCCTCATTTTTCATTAACATGTACTCTAATCCTTTTCAGGTTGTTTGTTTTGCAATAATCTCCTATTCCCATCTTAGAATTCTTTATGTTATTTGACAGAAATATAGGATACTAGTCATCCTATTTGTTCGGCAATAATCTTATATTTGTATCGGATGAGTATCAAGAGATACCGATGTTTGTTTGATAGGAATGTAAAATATTACGTATCCTATATGTTTTGGAGCAAATATTAGATTTTTATGAGCTGAGTATCAAAATTATTACGTTTGTTTGATAGGATAGGCATCCTGTCTGTTTTGAAGTAAATATTAGATTCTTATATGATAAGTATAGAAATTCATGTCAACATGAAGGTAGAATATTCTATTTTTGGAGTGAATCTTAGATTCTTATAGGATGAGTATCAAAATTCATGGTTGTTTGGCAGGAATGTAGAATATTAGGATCAAAACGAGCATAGTTCAGTAATAATTGACATATATTCCAACCAAGAGTTTGTGAGTTCGATTTCCCATCTTCACATGTTGTACTAAAAAATAAATGTAAAATATCAGGAAATCTTAGATTCGTATGGAATGAACATAAAAAAAGTAGTAAATCTTAGATTCTTATGAGATGAGTATCATGTTTGTTTGAGGGGAATGTAGAATATCATGTATTATGCAAGTTTTGGAGTAAATCTTAGACTCTTGTGGGATGAGCATCAAAATTTATATGTTTGTACGACAAAATGTAGAATTTCAGGTAACTTCAAATGTTTTGGAGTAAATCTTAAATTTTTTTGGGATGAATATTAAAATTCATATTTGTTCGACAAATAACGTAGAGTGTAAATTATTCTTTCTACCATCGAAAAATTCTTAGGTTCTTATGGGATGAGGATTAAGATTCCTGTTTTTTTTTTTTTTAAGAATCCATCTTATGATTTGTTTCTTTATTAATATTATTTTTTTTTTGTATATCATATATACTTTTTCTTTCACCAATTGTTTTTATTTTATAGATGTTATATATAAATGACTGAAAACAAATGGTTCCATTAATTGTTAAAAATAAAAAATATTTAGGATGGGGATCATTGAGATATAAGGATAAAATAATATATTGGAATGATGATTGAGATGTAAGGATAAAATAATATATTTTTTTAACTTTCACACGTACAAATTGCTTCTCATTGCGAGCAACCAGAGAAAAAATTTGGCCCATCATAGACTCTCCTACATGGTGAATAGGATGATTTCATAACTTATTTTCTAAAATAAATTTTAAATAAATCTGAAGACTTAGTATTTATTTATAGACTAGTGATAAGCTAGTTGATTACTTCCTGTTGCATCCTTTAAAAGAAAAACAATTTATTAAATATTTAACATTAATTAAAAGAAAATTCAATATTCACAATAAATATTACGTAACAGTGAGAAATAACTTTTAACTTTTTCTCGAGAGGAAGAAATGAAAGCTTAAAATTTAAGATTCAAAATTCTTTTAACCAAAGCGAGCAAACTATATCAAAATTAATTCTCATATTGAGCAGAGCTCTAACACCATAGCGAAAATAAATAATTTTCATAAGTTATTTTCAAATAATAATGATTTATTCTTTGAACAACTAACGAACTCGAGGTTTAGAGTAGGGTTTATGAGAGCATCCATTCCATTTCCATAACTTCCTTTTTCAAGTACTCGAAGAGCTCCTTCTAATGGCTATGGCTGCTGCATTTCTTGTTCGGAGAACCTCGCCGCCCAGATTCCTCTTCCGACCTCCCCTCCATTCTTCTTCTTCTCCGCTTCTAACAAACCTATCTTCTCTTCTTTTCCGAGATTCCGGTTCCTGTAATCCTGGAAATTCTTGTCCTTCCCACTCCAGAGGTTTCGTCTCTGTTCCTCATGATTCTGGTGCTCCTGCTCTCGGTACTGACACTCGCGTCCCAGCCACTGTGATCACCGGCTTTCTCGGTTCTGGAAAGGTTATATTCCTCTGTTTCTTCTCAGCTTCAGTAATTTTTGGTGTTGTAGTTGATTATTCTGCTTATTGATTGGCATGCAGGTCTCAGATTAAGGTGTTTCGAAATTTGTGCTGCGTGATTTATTTTCTCTTTGAATATGATACGGATACTTTTCCACTAATATGTTTAATTTTCTCTGTTCTTCCGAGAAAAAGAAAGAACAGTTTCGATGGGTATTTTATGGGGTAAAAATGGAGGAAGAAGTGAAGTATATGCTTGTGATTGGCCTACTTTCTTCGTTTTTCTGATTGATTTGATTTGCTATTTTTGTCCAGACGACTCTCCTCAATCATATTCTGACATCTCAGCATGGCAAGCGAATTGCTGTTATTGAAAATGAGGCATGTACTGTATTATTTCATTCTATGGTTAAGGAATTTTTTTTGAAAAAATATTATGCATATCTTTTCTTATACTGCGATCACTGTTTGCAGTTTGGCGAGGTGGATATCGATGGATCTTTAGTTGCAAGTCACTCCTCTGTAGCCGAAGACATTGTTATGGTAAATAATGGATGCCTTTGCTGCACTGTGCGGGGTGATCTGGTTAAAATGCTCTTGGAGCTGGTGAAGAAAAAACGAGACAAGTTTGATCATATTATCATTGAAACGACGGGTATATTCTTTTGTTGGCTTGAGTGAAATTTTTTGAGAAAGATATGTTCGTACTCTTGTTTATTGCATATTTACCTAGTAATGGACCTTTTTTTCCATTCATTCATATTGTAGCCACGACCCTCTTGTTGGTTCTTCAACGAAAATATATTTAGTTCTAAGTGGTTGCTTCCGAGTGCTATTCACTTGGTAGAGTTTATGAGAAGCTTGATGAAGTAGAAGTTCAAAGAGAGCTAGAATTAAACTCACAAATGCCGAGACAGGTTAATCAAGCGTTAATGATATTGGCTGTTTCTTTAGAACGAACAGAAAAAAAATGAATGTTGAAATATTGGCTGTTTCTTTAATAACCTTTTCATTCCCTGTTAGAACAGGAATTTGTCATAGCAAAAAGACTTCCACAGTATTTCTAGTCCTTTCCTTTAATGGAAGTTCAGTTATCTCTTTTGATTGATCATAGATGGCGATTGACAATAAGTTGTAGGATGTGATAGTTGTAATTTTTGATGCAGGCCTTGCTAAGCCAGCTCCAGTTATAGAAACATTTTGTACAGATGAGCTGGTTTCACGTTATGTAAAACTAGATGGAGTTGTTACTTTAGTAGACTCCAAGCATGCCATGCAACACTTGAATGAAGTGAAACCAAGATTTGTGGTGAATGAGGCTGTAGAACAAGTTGCTTATGCTGATCGAATTATAATGAACAAGGTAAATTAACGTTCTGGACTTTGTGTTCTTAGGTTTAAACTTCTCTTTCAACTCCAAGTTATTTCTATACTGAAAGAACCGAAAATTCTAAGTTATTCTTTCCACATCATATTGACAGATTGATCTTGTAAGTCAAGATGAGTTGGAGGAACTGATGCGGAAGATTAAGGTATCATTGTGATTGGTATCTTAATTTGAGATGATTGGTAAATAGGTAAAGGTTAATTAGGATCAAGTTGGAGATACAATACAACTAGCTAATTAGTTAGGAGATCAATTATGCATTATTTAATTTCGATGTGTTGGTTAGGAATCAATGAGCACAGCCCCGAGAAAGTTTCCTGTGATGTCTTTAGGTTAGGTTCATGTTGGTACATTGTTGCATCTAAGAGTAAGACCATGTACAACTCCCAAGGGGCAACTCGGTTGGCAAGGGCTTGGGTCTCTTGGTCATACTGGCTTAAAGGTCTCAAATTCGAACCTTCCAGTGAGCTTAATATCAAAAACTCTTGATGTCTCCCGGATCTGGGCTTTGGGTGGGCACGGGTGCCCTTGGGTATAGGGGGAGCAAAGCTCTGACTCCCAGTAACAAAAAAAAGAAAAAAGAAAAAAAGAGTAAGACCATGTACAATGCGTTTTCTGCTCCTCTATACTCTTAACTTATTCTTTATTTATAATTTGGACATGTGGCATCTATTTTTCAGCGAATAAATGCGATGGCCCAAGTTAACTTGGCTAAGTTTGGATCGGTTGACGTTGACTTTGTATTAGGAGTGGGTGGATATGATCTTGACAGGTCATAATCTGGTTGCACCTGATTCTTCTTCTTGTCGTTTTACATATTTGTCCTGATTGCTCGTGAAATATTTTGTTGTATAATACGTTCAATTTATAAATATTATGAACATTGTGTATGTGCAGAATAGACTCTCAAGTTGAAGCCAACACTTGTTCTGGAGACCACAAACATGAAAATAAACATGGTACATCTACATTTGCCCTCTTTTTTAACCTTTTATTTTCTTGTGTGTTTTCTGAAACATTAATTTGTCATAAAATTGTTTTCCTATGGGAATGAAAGGCCTATTTGGAAGTTAGGTTGAAAACTGTTTTCTAATGTATAAAACTTATTTAGCAGAATATTTTTTAAAAACATTTTTCAGGAAGAAAGACAAACAATGAAAATTGAAATAGTATTTTGTTGTTTTCATGTGTTTTCTTGGACATTTTCAAAATTAGTAGTTCAGTTATGATCATTTAACTTTTTTTAAAAGTATTACTTGATTTAAATGTGTGAAATTCTGAAATTAATATGAAGAAAGAAATAAAATTACAAGAACAAAAAAATTTTATTCCAAGCAACTAATATTTTAATCATTTGGCCAATTCTGCAGAGCACCATAAGGGGCATCATCATCATGACCATGTACATGACTCTGCTGTGTCTAGTGTCAGTATTGTTTCTGAGGGATTACTTGACCTTGATGAGGTAATGAAAACATTTTACAGAATGAAAGAAAGGACTTCTAAGTGATTTTAGCATTTTCAAAATCGTTTTAGTTCTCATTTAATGTATGAAGTGTGTTGCATAGGTTGACGATTGGCTCGAACGATTGATCGAAGAGAAAGGAGAGGACTTGTACAGAATGAAAGGAGTTTTGAGTGTGAATGGTTACGAGCAGCGTTATGTCTTTCAGGTACTTCATTTCTTCATCATTTTAAAAGTTTTTATTCCTCTAAAATTAAGGAAAGAGCCATATTCTTGGCTTAAATCTTTCGTTTTCTTCCCAAGACAAAGGAAAGGTGGAAGGGTGTAATACTTCCTTGAAATTAAACTAGAAAATTCCTCATGAATAAACCACTAGCTGAGAAGATTTCATTATCAAAATCCGATGATATAAAAAGGCTAAAAAGCCCTAAAAGCTCTCAATCAGAGGAGATACTCACATAATTGTAGTCACCAAAATCTTTAGAAAGGAGATTCTAAGAAGAAACATAGAATTGGACAATATCCTAAAAGCCTTTGAGAGATGATTCTTCGTCTTCGAAAACTCTTTGGTTTCTTTCGAATCAAATTCTTCAGAGGTTAGACCGGAGGATTGGAGCTTTCCTTTTGAACGGGGCACCAATGACAAATTGAAGAAGTCCATCCTTGAAATCTTTATGAGAACACCAACTTTGTAAGTCATGCCTTTAGGGTCCTAGATCACTCCGCATACGCAAACTCACAGTGAAGAAACAAGATTTTAATCCACAAAATACTTAAAATCAAGTTATACCTCAAACCCAACCAGGAAGATATCCAAAATTAAACTATAAAATCAAATTTGTAAAAAGGCATCTAAGCTAAAAAATAAAATGTTCAAATCTGTTTTAAAAGCATCTAATAGAACCACAATAATCAATACCTATAATAATAGTCGTCCCCTGAAGGATGACGTACAAGTGCTTGAGGCTTTGAGGAACCACCTACCTTGAGCTCTCAAGTTCGAATCTTACACAAGTCACCGTATTCTGCTCAATCTAGGCAATGAATTCCAATTATAGGGATTCATTAGTGTAAGCCACAACGACATCGATTCTGGAAAATTTGAAAAAAAAATCCCATAATAGTAGTCTCACCCAAGTAAAAGAACGTTCCTAACTAGCCATCTAAAAAAGTTAGAAAACTTAACTAGTTTAGGATTCAATTGGATGAAATTGAAAGTTTAAATAAGGTGAAATACTGGTGTTTTCTCAAGAAATTAATAAAATGTTTTTGCATTGCTTATTTCCTCTTTCAGGGGGTGCACTCTATCTTGGATGGCTGCCCAGGCAAAGCATGGGCCCCTGATGAGAAGAGGATAAACAAGTTGGTTTTCATAGGAAAGAATTTGGACGAAACTGCCCTTAGAAAAGGCTTCAAAGGTTGTTTACTATGAGATCAATCTTCTATACTCTCTGTTTCCAATTTGGTAATTTATAGGTCTTAATGTCATTATAATTCTTGTATGTATGTACATTTCTTTGTGCATTTTACATGCTAATTGTAGCCACCTTTTTTCCTTTTTAGAAAAGCAAAATTTTTTTTTTAATACCACTAGTAGGGGTGGAGGATCCGAACTTGTGACTTTTTGATCAGAAATAGATGGTCATTACCGTTGAGATAATCTCATGTTGGCTTTGCTCATAGTTAAGTTGGATAGGAACATTCTATTTTAAATGAAATGAGTTTTGTTGTATATGTTTTGAGTATATAACATTGGAACGAGGATTTGAACTTTCGACCTATCAGAGAGATTATTTATGTCTCATTGAATTGATTTAAATTTATTTTAAATACTATTTTGAAATCTGTATAATTAGTTTTAGTTTAGTTTGGTTTATATTTTCAAAATGTTCATTTTAGTTTTGTATTTTCAACTTGTTCATTTTAGTTATTGTACTTTTCAAAATGTTCATCGTTCATTTTGATCCTCGCACTTTTATAAAATAACCGATTCGATCAAAAAAATTTACAAATTTTATACACAATAGAAACCTTTCAATACGAATGAGATAAAAATGGTATGATAAAATTATGATATAAATAAATGAGATAAAAATGATAATAAATGGACTAAAATGGTCATCTTTTAAAAATACATTGATCAAAAGGAACGTAATATATCTGATTCAAATCCAATATAACACCTATGGGTACATAAGAAATGTATTGAATCGATTCTTTTTAATGAATAGATCCGATCGCAACTTCGAATATGGAATTCAAAGGGATCAAATAGGAAATGATACTCTGAATCATAGAACTATAATGAAATATACGATCAACCAACATTTATCAAATTTTAAAAAGGGTCAGAAGAAATGGTTCGATCCTCTTATTTTGATTTCTCGAACCGAGAGATCCATGAATCGGGATCCTAATGCATATAGATACAAATGGTCCAATGGGAGCAAGAATTTCCAGGAACATTTCATTTCTGAGCAGAAGAGCCATTTTCATTTTCAAGTATATATATATATATACTTCCAAAGTTCAACAAATGTGAAGTTAGGGAACCATCATGGTTAGATCTAGTGGTCAATAAGTGTAAATAGTAAAGAGCTTGTTTGGGAATGATTTTAGAATGATTAGTAATTAAAATTTAAAAAAGAAATTTAGACAAATATTTCTAAAGAGAAAACTGTTCAAGAGTAAAAAAAGTCTTAGAAAGAAATTTTAAAGTGTGAGAAAAATTTTGGATAGAGAAATAAACTTAAAAAAGAAATGGGACTAAAAATTTATAGAGAAGTTGCAAAATGTTAGAGAAGGAGAAATAAACTTAAAAAGAGATGGTAACTAAAAATTTATAGAGAGATTACAAAATGTTAGAGAAAATAAACAAAGTTAAAAAGATAAATAAAGTTAAAGAGTGAAAAAAAAACATTTAGAGAATATATATATATATATTTTTAATTTTTTTTCAAAAATTTAAGGTAAAAATAAGGTGGATATAAAGATAATTTTGAAAATTAAAAACAATAGTTATTTTAAAAACTAATTTTCTATTAATTTTTTTTGTTCAAAAATCACTTGGAGAATCACTATTCAAGTAATTGACCAGGAATCACTTGATTACATGAATCCTTGCCAAACATTATATTTTAAAATGAAAGTGATTTTGGCTAAAATAAGAATGATTATAGTCATGTCAAAACTACTCCCAAACATCTCCTTGGAGGGATTGAGTTCAAATGATGATAGCAATCACCTAAGATTTAATATGCGCGGCAAATAAATGTAGTCGAATGCAGTTGTGAGATAATAGTTATCTAACCCACCAAAGGGTTTTCTAATTTGGTATCAAATGTACCAATTATTCATGTCTTTTTTTTTTTTGAACACAAGTATTCACGTCAATGTCTCAATTATAAAAAGTCAGTAGAAACATCGATAAAATGTTAATATTAATGAATATTTCTAAAAATAAAAAATTATAACCAATATTAAATTAATGGATAAATATCTCAACATTTTTGAATAAATTAATAATATAAATAGTAATATTATGCTCATATTAATAATACTTGTTTTGTCGGAAAAAAAAAAAAAAAACTTGGGCATGGAACCATATGAATCAATCGTTTTTTTTTCGATGAAATATCAATCAATTTATTGACATATGAAGAATATCAAAATGTCTAACATATAAAAGAAATTTAATACCTCGTGTAAGATCATATTAAACTCAACATACAAAATTTAATAACAAAAAATAAAATAGATGAATAACTATAACATTTTAAAACATCAAATATAAAATAAAATACGTCAAAATATTATTTTGGTCCATGTGCTTTTAGTCATTTTAGTCCCCGTATTTTGAAAATCTTAAAACTTTGGTTCTGTAGTTCCTATATTTTGAAAATGTTCATTTTAGTTCTTGTACTCTTAAAAAATTATTATTTTAGTCACTATTTGTAAAGTTTTAACACAAATTTTATACATAACAGAAACTATTTAATTTACATTTTAAAAAATATATCAATTTTAGTGTTGTGTTGAAATTGTGATAAAAAATGAGATTAATAATAAAATTAAAAGATTAAAATAATCACTTTTAAAACGATAGAGATCAAAATGAATATTTTAAAAATATAAAAACTAAAATCAACCAAAATTTAAAATATAAAAACCAACGCAAATATTGAAAAGAATAGTGGACACCAAAATAAATTAAAATTAATAAAATAATTGTCAATTTTCATGGACGGAAGTGTTGTTTGATTCCACTTGGGCCTCTCGTTTGGAGGAACGAATATCAATTATCAACATTTTCTCTCTCCTCTCTCTCCTGTTTTCTCTTTTACTTCGAACTTCGCAGTGCTTCGTTCCGCAGGCGGGGCCTCCAGTCGAGGAAAATGCATTTCTCCACTGCGAATTTTGCCTTTACCTCCTCCATTACGGCTGCGATTCTTCCACTTCCGTCTCGAAATGTAATTTCTCCAAGTTCCTCTCTCGATTTTTGAGGCGTTCTGTTCGATTTTACTTCAGAATCTTTTTCCTCAACTGTTCTTGCTCTGTTTCCATCTGTAGCTTGCGTGTTTCAGGATTTCGCACCGGAAATTTCATCGGAGCTTCGTTTCTGGTTCAATGCTAGAGTTTATGGCGTGTAGAAGAAATCTCAGAGTTTCGGCGAATTCGGGTTATCGAGAGAGTAGCAATGCCTCGACTGCGTCGGACGTGCCGTTCCCTCGCGATTATTCTGATCTTCTTGATCAAGTAAGGTTTCAATCAGTTTTGAAATCATTTTTGTTTGACCACTTCAATGCTGCGTATGCTTCTTATGTTATTTTGGCAGTTCGTTTCTTCATTGTCGCTTCACTTAGCCTTTTACTTTGTGTTTCTCCACATTGTATTTAGCTTTAATATGTTTCTAACATTTTATGATCTTGTCCATCGAACAACTGCAGGCTAGAAAAGCAACTGAAGCGGCTTTAAGAGACAACAAACAATTGATGGTTAGTTTTGATTTCTCTGGAATGGTAGAAGCGTTTATAGATTGATAAAATCAACGTGAAATTTCTAATCCAAAGCTGTTCTACTTTAGGAGATCGAATTTCCAACTGCTGGACTTGAATCAGTACCAGGTTCTTCTTCTTATTGATTTGTTCCATTTCAGTTGTGTAACTTCTAAAGTTCTTTTCCAGGCCTCCTCTCTAGTAACTTGTTTTGCCTGTTACAGACCATATAAACCTTATGTATCAGGTGATAGCGAAGGAGGAATTGAAATGACTGAGAGTATGCAATTGATTCGCCAATTTTGTGACTGCTCCATAGATCCACTGAAAGCCACACGGACCAGAGTAGTAATGTTCTACCGCATTATCCTTCTATTCTATTTTTACAAATTAAGATGTTAAATTTCAGATGCCGTAGAATTTATCCCTGGAGGGGCTAAGATGCATAGTAGGTGAAACATTTTTCAGCGTCTTAGATGTTTTTCTATATAATTTCATCCACATAGAGATCATAATAATCTACTAAAATTTGTTTGTTTGTTTTTTCCCCCTTCGGAAATCAGTATGCTTGAAACTTCTCTTGTGCTTCAAAATGTAATTTAGAAAAATCTTCTTGTTGTCTTCAGCTTTTATCGTTTTTGTTAATCTTCTGAAATATCTGTCTACTATTACATTCTAGAATTATGATGCTTCAGTCTGGGTAAAGTGTCTGTGTCTAACACGTGTTCAACACTCCGACATTTGGACATGTGTATAGTAAACCTGTGAGCCCATTAGACCTATGTCAAGTGAATGTGGATCCGACGCTTGTTAGACACGTATTGAATATTTGTTAAGCATAATAAATAGACATAAATAGCAATATATGATAAAATAATAAAATTTTAGGGTGATATCAAAACTCATTTTTAAGTATATAATTACTTTTGAATTTTCTTCTGGTATTAAAATGATATGCATTTAAAAAATGTATATTTTAATACGTGTGTTGTATCTCGTATCTTTTGTCCATATATGTGCTCTTAGATTACATTTTAACGAGGAAATGTTACATGGTTGGCATCCTTTTTGTGCCAACAATCATGTTTTAGTTTACAATATGCTTGCTGTCTAATGTTCTTTTTCTCTTTTCTGACCATGAAAGCTATTAGCTTTAGTAAAGAGAAATATTATATTTCTAGTTCTTTCCAGAGGCCAACGAAGTTAAATTTGCAAGAAATACAGCGTTTGAGGGAGCTTCGTTCAAATTGGACTATCTCACGAAGCCATCATTTTTTGAGGATTTTGGTTTTGTTGAGAAAGTGAAAATGGCGGACCGTGTGAAACCAGAAGATGAGCTTTTTCTGGTTGCCTATCCATACTTCAATGTCAATGGTTAGTCTTTGTTTTTGGTTTCCCTCTTATTTGGTGGCCTTAATTTGCTTTTGGTCGGCTGAATTATCAACTTTTCTTATTCCCCATTACAGAAATGCTTGTGGTCGAAGAGCTTTACAAGGAAGCTGTCGTGAACACCACACGGAAACTCATAATATTTAATGGAGAGCTCGACCGCATTAGATCCGGGTGTATCCTTTTATCTTTTTAAGTATCCATTTCATGTTGCATGTGATGATTAAATTGATCCTCTCTTTTTTTAGTACATTATCTCATATTTAGATAGTTATTAGTGGATTCCGTTGAACATTCAAACCTAACATTCAAACCTAATTTTCCTCTTTTTTTTTTCTTCTAAAGTTTTTCTAAAAAAAAAAAATCAAATGGATATGCTGTGTATTATCAACTATTTCCACAGAAGGTGGTAAGATTATGTCTTGAACTGTTACGCATCCAGGACCCTTGACACAAATAGGTGCATTACGAGTTCATCAACTAAACTTGACAACTATTTATCTTTTGAAAAAAACTTATTCTTTTTCTTGGTTTATGCATCCATTTCTTAGCCGTAAATTTTTTAACGGTGGTTAACATACGTAAGCAAATAAAGAGCAGAATTTGATACAGTAAAACTAGGGTAGAGATGACACTTTTAGTCATTTACAAAATGAGATGAATTTTGGTATCACATACATAGTTTTTGTTTCTAACTGTTGATATTTTTTGAGTATCTGTTATATTATATGACTGTAAACCAGCCTTAATAGGTGAAAGATTATCCGCCATTTTTCTACCCAAAGCTGGCCGCACTTGCGAAGACTCTCTTCCCCATGATGGAGACTGTATATTATATTCACAACTTCAAGGGACAAAAAGGAGGAGTTCTTTTCAGGTTTCCCAGTTTGTTTGTTGGTGGCTTTTAAAACTCATTCTAACCTGAATAATATTTAGGTGTTTATTGGTTAAGAGGTATTTCTTACCATTTACCATAGAAAAATTGATAGCTAAAGTTCCGTAGGATAACTATTTTGTCTTTAATTTTTTGCTTTTTAAAATTAAATTTAGAAATATTACCTTCACTTGTGTTTTAGTTTTTGCAAAACATTTTTTTAAATTTAGGCTAAATTTTGAAAAGAAAAAAAAGTATTTTTGTTTCTGAAATTCGGCTATATGTTTCTAAGAGATAGTGGAAAACTCAACAATGAAATTGTATGAAAACAAACATAATTTAAAGACAGAAAAGTAAAAATGAAATGGTTATCAGATGGGAGAAAGGAAGAGAGAGAAAATAGATTCTTTTTTAAAAGTAAATAGTTGTCAAAATTTTTTTTATGGTGGTAAATAGGAAAATACCTAAAAACTATTAAGTATCTAAAATATTATCCTTTCAATGCACGCTCGGTATAATAACTTTCGATATTCAATTTCCTTGTTACATTATTTCATTCAGGTGCTACCCAGGTCCTTGGAAAGTCCTCAGAAAAGTGAGGAATAAATTTGTGTGTCTGCATCAGCAACAAGACATGCCTTCTCTCAAGGAAGTTGCCTTGAACATTCTCCCTGCAACTTGAAGGTATGTAATCTAACTTATCCCATAACTCAGTTCACAATTTTCTTTTTCTATATTTTAAAAAGTATTCTAACAAAAACTATTTATACATTTTTCTAAAGAAAAAATACTTCTGAAATCTTTGTCCTGTCTCAAAAGCCAAAAGCAAATTAGTAACTATTTTTTCGGTTTTCAAAATTTGGCTAGGTTTTTAAAAACGGTTTGATTGTAAATTAGAATACAAATAAAATTGCTGGTAAACAAGCATATGATTTTGGGTAAAATACAATTTTCGTTCCTATGTTTGGACTCAATTTCTATTTGATCCATAAATTTAAAAAAATATTCATTTTTAGTCTCTAAAATTTAAATTTTGTTTTAATTCAGTTTTGAAGTTTCAAAGTGACATGTTTGATCTTTAAGGTTTGAATTTAGTTTTTAATTAGTCCAATTTAGATTCTAATTTGTCATTGAGTTGAGTTGTCTTTGAGTTGTGGTAGCTAACATATATTGACTAAATTTTGGTGATGTGTCTTTTTAGAGACAAATCTTATTATTTTTTATTCTATTTTTCTTAAGTGATATTTTTCTCTCCTCTTCCTCCGTCCCTTCTCTTCTCCTTCCTTTCTTCCACTCTTCCAACAACGCCACCCTTTCTATTCGTTCATCTCTAGTTTATCATTCAAATTGTCTTGGTTCTAATTTACAATATGAATTAACAAATTTCTAGACAACTTACCAGATTCTCGACATTCGTATTGAGTCATTTGAGAAATGTCTATTGTCTAGTCAACATATGTTAATTATCACATCATTATTCAACTAGCTCAACTAATAATCAATCCAACTCAACTTAAAAAGACAAAGTAGAAATCAAAACACAAATCTTAAAAACCAGTTAAATAATAAATTCAAGTTTTTAAACTCAGACCAAATAGAAACCAAGTCCTAACTTCAAACAAAAATATATTTTACCCCATGATTTAAAACAAAAAAACCAAAAAAAAATGGCAGTATTATATGATGTGTAAGAGTCCAATTTATTTAGTTGCATAAGTATTGAGTAAACTGCTTCGGCTTTTGCAGGTCTTATTAGTAGATATTATCATTCATTTTGATGTGAAGAGAATCCCTTATTGCCTGGTAAATGCTACATCAACGTCTCTGTATATTCCTATTAAAAATAATTGACGCACATTAAATTTAAGGAATCTCTAATATTAGACACAGTTTAAAATTTAAATCCCTTTTTCATTGGGGACCAAACTCTTATTCATCCAAAATTCCTTCAAAATTTAAACATTATAATGAAATTTGAGTTAAAATTTACGTGCTATAGAACATAATTACAAACTGAAAAATATGTTGCGAGTTACTGATATGTATGTTTACTGCATATTGCTGTTAATCCAAACTTTCTCTAAGAAATACAGTGAAAAAGATAAGGAAATAAGTTATATGATAGTGTTTACAGGCAATACCAAAGGTTTGAGGGTACTGAGAAAAATAATACCTTCTTTGACACACCAAAAAGGTTTCCACCATTGCTACTCTTCTTTCCTCGCCCAACACGAACGCTGACCGATCGCCAAGTTACCCCTTCTTTGGTGTTAGGCGTGTCTCAGGCGGGGCAGAATTGGGCACGCAAACAACCCATCTTCAACATTTGAAGTTAAAGAAATAATAATGCTCTATTCACTCATGGGAGGTAACTAACATGATTTTGTTGCACATTCTATCTCATCTAACATTCTTCATTCGAGGTTTCTCTTTCGTGTCGTTCAATGTCTCTAAAACCCTTATCTAAAAGACCTAGAAAGACCTAGAAGATAGACGACTTCCGATTTCTATTTTGCCACTTTTTTATTTAAAAAAGAAGAAGAAGAAGGATTAGGAACATTTATATGTGGAGAATTGTGGGGCAGAGAAGAATGCAATTGGTATTGAGAGAAGTAAAAATTGAGAGATGGACAAATGAGAGTGTAGAAGAAGAAGAAGAAGCAGAAATTTCATGACGGTTCTGAGTCCAAGTTAGCGGCTATGGCAGAGGAGAGTTGTATGTGAGAAACTCGCACTGCGCCAAGTAATCGCTCTGGTAATTCTTCTGTAGTATTTGCCTAATTACAAACACACACAAAAATATTACCAAATGCTACTATTTTTCTAATATTCAAAACCGAATTCACCTGTCACACTAAGAATAAGACCGATAGAGATTTCATAAGGGATCATTAGAAACAATTAAACACTTTAGATATAATTAAGTCAATAAAATGTTAGAAATGAAATCGATAAATGATTAAGGTATTGTTTCATTCTTAGTGTTTCAAAAACATTGTAATTTTATATTCCATTCATTTTTTTAGCTTTTGAATTTTGAAAAATATCTTTGAAATGATAACTAACTTCTAAAAATATATGTGTATCTACCGAAGCTTCTCTCTAATTTTTTTTTTCTTTTTTTGTAACTTTTCCTCCCTCACGTCTTTAACTATTTTCCTCTTTCTAAAAATTTTCTCCAAATTTTCTCTTTATAATCTTTCTTTCCCTCCCTCTAAGACTTCCTTCTACTACATATATCCAACTTTTTTCTTTCTATAATTTTCTTTCCGTGTACCTAACTTGTTTTTCTCACCAACTCATTCTTTATCTCGTTATTATTATTATTATTTTTTTTTGCCTTCTCTCTCTAGTATTTTATAAATATAAATAAATGGTAAATTTTAAAAATCATACTTCTAAAATTATGATTAAAAATAAGATGATAATTTGATCATTATTTTAGAGGCTATAAAATGCACACTATTAAATAAGTTTAAAAAATATTTGTAATTAAACATGTTTGGCTTCTGTTTGAAAAACATGAAACAATTGACAAAAACCAAAAACAAAAATAAAAAAATGTCATTAAGCTGGCTCAAAATTATATATTTAGCCTATAACGCTTGTGTAAACCAGAAAAATTAAATAATAAAATAATAAAAAAAAACCATCGAACTATAATCAAGCATAGTTAAAACTCGACAAAGGTAACGACTTTCAAGCTTTCATCAACAACAAGAATCTTTTTGAAGTTTGAAAACATACCTGTATAAGGAAAGCCATGTCAACCACCAATGTTGTAATTACACCAATGACAAGTCCCAAAACTCCGTTAGCAACGGTCGAAGAGCCAATATCAACATCGACCTACATGAACAAAGATTACTTATAAACATCGTGAATACGAGTATATAATGAATTGAATTACTCTTATTCCTTGAGGAAGTTTAAGAGTCATTGGGGATTGATTTGTACTTCTAAATACTTGGGGCCTCGAACGTAGTTGCAATCAACTGCTTTTCCCAACAAGCAAGGAGTGCTTCCAACACTTTGCCGAACAATCCATGAACCCTGCCATTCATTATTTCATTGTAATGATAAACATAATAAAAATGGAATCAATAATATTTGAGAACAATTCAAATTAGAATGTTGGAGGGAAAAATAAAACACCAGTTAAACTAAAAAATGACCACCAGCTAACAAATTATTGATGATTTTGAACTAGGTACTTAATCCATTAATATTTTTAATGGAAAATTAGGGATACGAAACCATCCCGAGTTATCCTTTTCGGTTAAGAAACAATTTTCATAAAAGTACAAATTGGAGGGGAAGATAAGCCTATCCTCCCCTTTTGAAGCTAAAGCAAAAAAGAAAAAAAGAAAAGAAAAACTTTTCCAATTGAAAATTAATTGGAAAAGAAGATCCCTTACGATATTTCTTAGGGGCATCTACATAAATAGCATAAAATAAATAAACAAACGCGTATTTTTCAAATGCAGCAGAAAGTTTGAAATTTTACAAAAATTGTTTTGTCCAAATCAAACTCGAACTAAAATGGTAATGTATCACACTTATTCTATATTTGAAGAAAATGAAAAGTTAGTGACGTATTTTAAAATTCATATTACAGAGTGAGATTTCTCTAATTTTTAAGTGTGTCACAGCAAAGCTTAGAAAAAGAAAACCAAAAGATTGAATAGATTACTAGAGACACCCTAAAAAGTTATCCTATTCATTTCAAATCAATCAATCAAATATCCTTAATCCTACACACAACACAAGTGGATTATGGAGTATCTATGAAAGGAAAAAAAACATCTACCGACTTCCATGAAAATTTGACCTAAACTTTCTCTACCGAAGATCTATTGGGAAACACATACCTTGGGAACTGATGGAATGAGTTTTAACCTGCTGTTGCGGAATTCATCGTCACCATCAACAAAACGTTGCAAAAGAGATCCGGGAATTAGCTCCTTCGTCACAAAGTAAAATACCATGCTGTAGTGTGTCGATCCAGGAACCTGAATGAATAGTAGCATTTATCTGACCATCAAGAATTCGGAGTACAGTACATTCAGTTTTTTCTCTGAATTCAAATGAAATAGAACTTACTTGCACATTCATGACGACGGAGAAAAGACCTTTTTCTGAAGCGACCTAAAAAAATAAATATGTATGGAAAAGTTCAGTTCAGCGCAACAAACATAAACAAAAATTGAAGTAATATAGAGCTTTCAAGTCATTTTAGTGAAGACGATGAATCTTGTTTCCTTGCCTTGAGTAATATGTGTTTCGATGGTGCAATTGAATAGGTCTCCGAAGCCTTAAGTTCACATAGCTTTTGTACAATTCATGGGGTTGTAAAAATAACTGTATGGTCTAAGAGGTAGATTTATGTAGTTTGGGTTCATGTAACCATTGAGATTAACAAATCTATAGCTTGGAAAAAACAAAATGTAGGAATTTCTACTCTTTATAAATATTTATGTGTAAATATTAGTTGTAAATATTTGGGAATTATTGTCATTATTCTTTTCCTTATGTAGTAACAGGTCCCGCTCCTATAAAAAAGACCTGACTTGCACATATTTAAATATATAAATTTATTTTTACTCCCTCAACATTAAAATGGTATCACTATCAGATGTTCGAACCTTCCTAATTAGTATTGATAACTACCTGTTGGGCCTTTACAGTAACCTATCAACTTTTAAGCTTTTGGGTCATCATGATTAAATTTGGAGAGAAATTCAAGGAAGAAAAAAAACCAGGGAAAAGAAAAGGTGAAGTATGGAGCTGCTGAGAGTTTACTTGAGCAGCACAGCCTTGACGCCTGGCAACGTGGTCCATTCTTTTCGTGTCCTTCAGCCAATCGACAGCAACCAGATCCATTACATGCTTCCCAGCTGGAATCTTCAAACAACATTAAAAATGGACATAAGTGTTTGACGAACAGACTTGGCCTTTTGAAAATGGATGCAGATTCAGAAGAATATCCAAGTAGGGCAACATAAAATATAAAATAAAAATAAAAAAACAAGGTGGGATTAAAGAACCTTAGTCTTATCAAAACAAAAGGTCTTGCTACGAACTCTGAAGTTGTTCCCATCAGAAATTCTCCAGCAGTCTCGAGCACCATCACGATCATCATGCCTTATATTTCCCGAGAACCAGGATAAATCTATTGGATCTGCTGATTCTTCTTCCAAGGCTTATATTCATCAAACATATACAATTAAATCAGCACTAGTAAGCAAGTATTAATCCCACAACATAAGAATAAATGAGAACAAAAACCATTTACCTGCTCTTTTGTTATCATTCTCCTGTTCAGTTGGGTACACCTAAAATTTTAAAAAGTTGTTATAAGGGTAAAAAATATGCCAAAAAATCCCCCACAATATATAACTGTAACTTGTACCTCTTCTTCACACTCCGGTATTTGATATTCTTCATCTTCGTCAGAGTATTCATCCAACATAACAGAATTTCTATTTGCAGTATTAATTTGGTCAATAGAAGAGGTAGCACGATGAACACTGGACCCCCGGACCTTCAGGCTCTTCTGTGTTGAAACAGAAGCTGAAGCCATATTGACCATAACCGGTATTCTCGGAGGAGCATTCCTTTCATCTGTTTGTGCAAACCATTCGCGCAGCCCTATCATACAGATAAAAAGAAGATGATGCATTTGATATAAAATCAATAAAAAGGAAGAATCACACCCTAAAGTGAACAAATACGTATTATGAACGTTTTACCATCTTATTCATTAACCCAGTTCCACCTAAATTTTCTTTGAAAATACAAAGCTTTAGGAACAAGATGAAATTTGGAATTGGCAATTATCACCACAAAACATCCCAACGTTCTAATACAAGATTGGGAACATATATTTATATCACTTATTACAAGAGTAAAGTCCTAATAGAACCCCTGCCAACCATCACATACAGCAAGAAGGCAATCATATAAAATACAAAACAACAAATTATCACTGAATTAACTACACAAAGACACCACAACAAAGATAAAGATGAACTTTCTGCAAGCTGTAAATACTTCGGTCTTATGTTTAAAGTTTCTAGTGTTCCTCTCTTCCCAAATGCACCAGATAATAGCCAGAAAAGCACACCCCAGAACAGCTTCCATCCTATTATTTGTGAACCTTAATGGAAGAAAATATCATAATCAAATTCCTCCGATTTCAAGTTCTCAATCATCATCCACCCCATCCACAAAGTAAAAAATAATAGTTTGTTTAGTAACGTTCTTGTTTCTTTATTTTTAATGAAGAAAAATGTATTGTATGTTTCCAATCTCTAAGAATTCATTTATCTCAATGAAAGTGCAATTTCTTATAAAAAAAAACTCTAATAATTCAAGTATGATAAAACAATCTTTTTATTTGTATTTTGGAACAAATTGGAAATTGGAACAAGAAAGGAGAAAGTAGTTTTAGTTGTTTCCAAAATTTCTATACAATTGTGAGAATGTTCCCAGAAAAGAAGAAACAAGAAACAAAGTTAGTTGAAAAATACTTAGATTTCTTAAGAAAATTGGAAACGAAAAACAAGAAACGGGAATGTTACCAAACAAGCCCTAAGTAACATAATAATCTGAGCACACAATCACATTTCGTTATCCTCCATTTCTCCCATTACGTCCCTTTCTCTTTGTTTATAAAATCTTAAAAATTAAGAGAGGAATAATTCAGCACATGAAAGCTGGACAAACTAAACATCAAAGTTGTAAAAATGCAATCTTACAAATTTCTGTCCGAGCAAGGACTAGAAGAACAACCTACCAGCAACACTATTTAACATCTGCAAGAGACAATGCTGCTGAAATGATGACAAATAGCCCACACCCCATCCTTTCAGATCAATCTGCATAAGATGCTGCACTTGAGTTCTTGGCTTCCCGTTTCTAGGTTTCAGAGGTGAAATGTTGAATCCACCACCTTGTAATATCACAAAAAAGGGGCACTTGAGATGGCATGCGTAAGCTCATTGTCAAATAGCTTAATCCTTCAAAATTTCAGTCCCTGAAAATGAAAATATTTGATAACTCACTCTCAATATGGGCCCGCACATACCCTGGTTGTGGACCACAGTTCTCATGCACCCTTGAGCGAAATAATACCACTGCATGCCACCAACAGGAGAAGAAAGGTAATTTATTATTAGTCAAAACAACAAACAAGAGTTGATAATCAAAACACTAACCATAATTTCCATCATCATTCCGACGCCAATAACGTACATAGCAGAGGTCCCGTGGCCATACAAACCTGTCACAGCATAGGAAAGTTACAATAGGAAAACGAACACCAAGAGAGAAAACCTCGCACTATTCACAACATAATATAATAAAAATAGTTACTCCCATAAAACAACGAAGGGAATGTAATGTAATGTAGACCAAATAACCAGAAAAAGGAACCTAAGGCTAAGGCGGAATTTAAATGATGCAGAATTGACGAGTGGATCTCCCGTGTGAAGCAGCTTTCATCACATTGTCTCACACAGGCACATGATAAACCTTTATGGAAGCTAGACCCAAGTGGTACATTCTTAACCAATTCTCTTTTAGGAGCCCTCACAACAGAGGATCTTGACACAACCCCTCTTCATTTTTTATGCGAAATGGAAGGAATCACTATCCAGAAAAGGTGAAATTCTTCCTTTGGGAGGTAAGCCGCATAAGCCATAAACACATCTGACAAGCTTCAACATAGAATGTCATACATGTGTATCTTCCCCCATTGTGCACCATTTGCAAAAGAAGCTACCTGTGAATTTGTTGTCTCGGGGTCCCATCCTATCTATTCTTAGCAGGTCTTCGGTTCTCCCAGACTACCCCAAAGTTCTTCTCCATATTGTTTTTATGGGCCACCCTTTCAAGAAGGAAAGGAAGCTCCTTTGAATGAATTTTATTGGAGCTTCCTTTTGGGTCACTTAGAAAGAAAGGAATCACAAAATCTTCAAAAATAAGAAGCATTCTTTTGATCAAATTTTTGATGATATAGTCTTATTTGTCGTATCATGGTATAAATGCTCTCCTCTTTTTCATCACTATTGCTTTTCTTCTCTTTCATCCAATCGGAGACGTTCTTTTATGACTCCCTTGGGAGTTTCCTTCCCCTTTTTTGTAATTTCATTTCATCAATGAAAT